ACTAGGGGGCTTCTTGGTCACATCCCAGGTGCTTCTCTCTTTCCTCTCTGCTTTTGACGGTTCTCCATCCCTCATACCTGGTCGCTACAACAGCTAATACTTTGTAGCCAGCACCCGCCCAGTGCCAAGGCCAAAAAGGTAGTTCCTTGGGGCAGAAAATATCCAGAGATGGCAAAATATGACAAAATAGCTAGGCTTGCTTTGCCTACAAGGGGAAGTCAGGACAGCCTGGTAGGATGGGTGCCCCTTCCCAGAGCTAGCACTCGTGCCAGCTAAGTGGGAATGCAGAAAGCTGAACTCCTGCTCTGTCCYACCCTTCCTCTTCCCTGTGCTCTTCCTGGGGCAGGAGCTTCCCTCTGGATTGCAACCAATTGCCTAAGTTTGTGCATGGCCCTGGGAAGCTGCTCTGCTCCCATCTCTGCATTGCCTGAAGGTGGTTGTCTTCACCTCCCCACGCCTGAAACCCAGAACTGACCAGCTCACCTGAGCTAACAAACCATGTAAGCAAGTGCTCCTGTAAATGAGAATTCACACAAAATAACAGAGGACCTCAGAGAACAAGTTACAAGACAGGACTCCCTAGAAATGCCCCAGCTCTGCAAAGCACATGTCTGGGCTTTACACAASAACGTCTGCACCTCTGGTTGCTTCTCTTCCTTCCTCTTCCTCTCATCTGTGAATTGGGCTTCCACCTTTCCACCTGTAAATTATTTTTTTCAACAGCTTCTGTATCAGCCCAGTCACAGTGGCAATGTCCTGGCTGCAAAGCCCTGCCTAACTCACACAGGGCTCCTAGCAGCCTGGCCAGATACAGGTCCTTCAGGAAACGATTCTTACTGCTTTTCTCTTAGGACCCATAAATGACCTGATTATTTCTTACTGTAAGTGAAAGGCTGGAAGTGCATGTGCCGCATTTATACTCCCCTTGATTGGTGAATCAGGAGCAAATATTTTGGCTATGGTTTCTTATAGGTCATTTATTCAAGAAGTTTTAGTGGATGTCTTAGCCAGTTCTTGTTCAACTGCAATTAAATTCCATTCCTAAAAGGCTGGCCTGATCTTTAGAATCTGCAGATGTTTTATTTTCCCAAAGACCTTCTGAATCTATGCCATAATCTCTTCCATTTTGTGCCAACTGTACTCACCTCCAGGAGACGGATTTCTGCATGTCCCCTTCCAAGKGTAACTTCATTAATAAAGCCCTTTCTCTACTGCAGAATGTCATACAATTCTTTCTGACCTAATCTAATTTTAATCCCAGCTCATATTGYCTACAATCTAAATCCAGAAGAATGTAGGAACAATGGAGGAAAAGGATAAAGGATATGAATAAAGTTCTAAGAAAATGCTTCTGAGTCTTTTGCAGTAAGGTGAGGCATGGAAAAAATGATGAACTGACTGGAAAACACTCAGAAAAATGAAGTGTGGAGGGAGGGAGAAGGTGAGGAGAATAGGGCAGGGATGTATGTTTTTTTAACATGTACATATATGACATCTGGGCTCAGCCTTTATCATGATTGCATGCCTGAGAGTTATACTAAGCCACACACTCTAGATGTTTACATTATTCCAGGAGGATTATTTTTCTTTACTGCTATTACACTAAAATGCTATGGCAATTAATTCTAAAATAAAAACGACAATCACGGATATAAAAATCTACTTGTAAAAGGTCTAATCATGTTTACATTTTTAATTGAAAAGTACAGGCAGCCTTCACTGTGTTTTCCATAACTACCTTGTCTTTATTGTTCCCTACAGTAACTTCACAATAGTTTCCTAGTGTGTAAAACAATTATTCAATATACACATATATAATCATAGATATAGAGTATATACATGTRTGTATGCATATATATATATTATATATACTTATATAATCAGATTACACATCTACAGTCCATTATTTGGTTAAACTACAAAGTTGATCTGTGCCTCTAGGAACCTCTCTGCTAAATGGAAGATGGTTCAAATACAGWAAATAAAACAGAGGCAATCTCAGGAATATGCCTTATTCCTTAGGCATAAGGAATGGATGCCTAAAGAATAAGCATCCATTCCACCAGCATGGTGGATACACCAGGATGGTGTAATTATGTACTTCAGACCTCCCTCCCAGGGTCTTGTTCAAATGTATTATATATATTGTTGTAAACCACCACCAGCCTTATTACAGTTTTGAGTATATATAGCAAGCAAGTATGTGCAATTTGGGTAAAACGGTGCACCGTGGTGGGAAAAACACCAAAAAGCAATTCAGACCAGTTCACATCTCCTGGTCCTAAAAGGTATAAAATAAGGCTCAGGAATAAAATAAAATAAAATAAAATAAAATAAAATAAAATAAAATAAAATAAAATAAAATAAAATAAAATAAAATAAAATAAAATAAAATAAAATAANATAAAATAAAATAAAATAAAATAAAATAAAATAAAATAAAATAAAATAAAATAAAATAAAATAAAATAAAATAAAATAAAATAAAATAAAATAAACAACCAGAAGTGACAGTAAGACAAGTATAATGTTGCCTATGTTCTTATCTAAGAATACAAAGTGGAGGCCTAATTGATTATGTAAAATGACAACAGGTATATTATTCAGAAAGAGGCCGTTTTCTAGCTGTTACCACGAAGCAGTTCTAACGTCATCATTCTTAATAAATATTTGAAAAGTATCTCACTGAAGAAAGGGGAACTTGATTGACATTATGTGATAGAGTTCATAATCATGCATTTTGGAAAGAGGAAAAAGTATCACATAATATTGTGAGATGCAGCTCTGTAAAAGAAGATAATCTAATACGTGAGGCCTCCAGGCAATAGGAATTATTAGGACTGTCATTAATAGTTGGGAGTTGCTGTCAACAGAGGATATATTTATAATGGAGACAGATTTCCTAATACACTTTTGTGATTGCTACAAGCAAATCTTCCCGTGATTACAACACAGCTTGATTTCCCCTTCTCTCCATAATATGTTGCAAATACTACATAAATTATAACTACAATTGATTTACTACAAAGATATTACAGCTGGTGATTGCATGTCTGGGAAAACAAAGTATTAAGCACGGAGCAAACGGTCTGGTAATAAATGGCAGTTAATAGCTGTACTGATCTGCCTGTTACCCAGTCTGTTTCAGACCATCTCTTTCTGACCTTCTGTCACACAGAAGTAGAAATCTTAACTAGAAAATACCCACAGGAATTGATGAGGTAATTCCATGCCAGAAAATAATTCCAACAATGATTTTATTGGCACTGCACAATTTGCTCATTCAGAAGTTTACTTACCATTTTTTTTTTGGCATTTGTGTATGTGTGTCCCCAATTTGTGGCCTAACTCAGCAAGACTTCTTTGCATGGAAAGAATTCTGTAAGCAAATAAATATATAATTTCTTCAATGCAGAATTCTTCTGTATTGTGTGGGAGTAGAGGCTTTTTAAGCATTGTCACTGGAAAGTATAGCCTATCCATTTCAACATGCTTTCCGCATGTTTTTCTCAGCTTTCAGCTGAACACCATTTTTTTTCCCAAAATGAAAAAAAGAACTTTTCTATAATATTTTAAAAGACTGAAATAAGGGCCTGTGGATTTGTCTGCAGCATAAAAGCCCCAGCAGCGTAAGCAAACACTGTTATATAGGTGCTGCCCTCGTTGACACGACCCAACCTGCCAACATTTTTGTTCCTGTTTACTCCGGCTTAGGCCACTGGCCTCTCTGGCACATCAATATCTGCTCTTCCAGAGCGGGAGATCCAAGCGCCGACTTTTCCCGCCCCTAATCCACGYGAGCTGGCAGTCRCGGAGCCGGCAGCCGGGCTCYGAGTGCGCGGCAAGGGACGGAAAGYCGGAGCGCGCTGGGATGCGCACGGGCGCCCAGGCACCATGCCCTGCTGCACTGGCGGGATTGCTCCGAGCGCTTCCGTTCTGTGCTAATTTTATGGAGATGGGGGGCTCTGCCATGCGGGATACACCAAACACACCAGCTTGCAACAACTGACCCGCAGTCCACTCAAACACACCAGCTTGACCGCACAGGGGAAGCCCCGCGCAGCTCTGAAAAGCTGCGGTGAAACGAAGCGACTTCCGCAGGCGAGCACTGCCCGGGACGCTCTCTCCATTCGCTCTCTGGCCAGCGTGCCCGCGSATCCCGCTGCAGGCGGCGCCGCTCCCCCGCGGGCCTCGGCGGCCAGCACCGGCTGGGCGCGCGCGCATG